CTCCGTTTCCATGGCTGCCAGTTTCAATACAGAAAAGGTTTCGCAGGCCTTTAAGGATGTTGACACTATGGGTTTACATTGATTCGATAACTGTGTCTCCTCTCTCAACAAGAGACCCTTGGAAGGATGTTGTCCTTCCAAGGGCATGCGGGGGGCGGGGGAGAGAAACTCCCAAGAACCCTCAGGATTTTTGCAAAAGCAGGATCTGCCAGACTTCTGCAAGAGGAGGGAAGCTGCGCCGATCCTCTCAATTTGCCCAGGCAGTTTAGTGTAGTGGTTAAGGCTTCAGGCTAGGAACCAGGAGACCGTGAGTTCTAGTTCCACCTCGGACACAAAACCAGCGGGGGGACCTTGGGCCAGTCCCTCTCTCTCCGCCCTAGGAGGAAGGCAAGGGCAACCCACTTCCAAAAAACCTTACCAAGAAAACTGCAGGGACTGGTCCAGGGGTCAAAAACTGACTCGAAGGCACAGAACCAACAGTCTGAAGCCAACTCATTTCACTAGGACTACTGCTGGTAATTTCTGCAGATTTTTTTTTTTAAAACATTCATCAACAGCTTTCCTTTTCCAGCTTGGCTTATTTCATCTCTCACCCCTCAGAGGCAGCTTAAGGAAATATTTTTAAAAATCTACCCAACCGTCCAGTAGCAGCAGAATCTGCACCTCCCTCCCCAAAGAAAAGGAGCCCTGCTAGCCATCTATGTGAACCTGACGGCTGCTGCGACCCGCCCTTCGTCCTTGCAGATTCATGCAGACCCCTGCAGCAGAGAAGCTGGCTTTGCGAGGCTTTTTCAGCAAACTGCCCGACCCGCTCGTGGGCTGCTGTCAGCAGGTTCTCCTGAGCAGCACCGTGCTCCGAACCTGAATTCTCCCATATCAAAGTTCATTCCCAGCACCGCAGCAAGTCATGAACTAATGCCAAATAATGGGTAAACTCAGCTTGCCCAGTCTGACACGCTCTGGATCAGGTTGGAAAGAGACAAAATTGCCAGCACTGTTCTGACTTTCAAATTGTACGTCTGGGCTTTTATAATCCTCTTGATACTGAACAGGTCTGTCTCTGTATCATAAGCCATTGTGAGAAAACTGTAGCTTGGCAAGGGGACTAAGAAATACATTTAAAAAGAAAGAAATTCATCCAGCCCTGGAAGGAAGCCTTATCTTTTTAAGCCATTCTGTATAATCTTATGCAGGTCTATTCAGAGATTAGTCCTGTTGAATACAGGGGTACTTAAGCTCCAGATCAATACACACAGAAACACAGCCTCTTTGCAAGGCTTGTTACATTATTTAAACACAATTTTTTTTTAATGACCACACCTTACTGTGGTCATCTGTCCCAATCAAAGCCTTTTACTAACATAAACAAAGCTTCAACACAGCAGGGTGACACTGTCATTTTTATAGGAGATCTGTAGTAATGGTACCATTTTGTCAACAACTGAAATGTACACAACAGTATTTGTAATCATTCCAGGTCAGTTTATTGATTTCATAAGCCACCCAGGAGACCTAAGTGGCAAGATGAAATATCTAAATACATGAGATGGGCATCTCCAGAAGCAGCAGAAGGGAGATAATGAGAGCGAAAATAAATGCAATATCTTTGCTCTTCTGAATGCTATTAGTTCAGAAACAGGCCAATTCTGTTCTTTTTTTAAATTTCACATTAAATAGCCCAAGATAAGAAGCTATGCTCTTGAATATACACCGAAATATATCCCCTTCTTCTTAATCAACAGGCGACTAGGATACCGACGCCTCGAAGATTAATTAGGGGGGCATGCGGCTGCAAGATATGACCCCATCCGGAAGCAGCAAATCGTGCCCCAAATCTGATCGGCCTATGCATACAGTAAAGGCTCTGAATCCG